GCGACGCCAGCGCGGAGCAGATCGGGTTCCACGTCGAGTCGAATCGGCGATGCACCGTCGATGCAGAGCGATCCTTGGGCACCATCTGCTCGGACCCCCTCTGAGAGGCCCCGAGCCCTGAACTCGGCTTCCGGACTGTAACCGTGGAGCCCTCCCGAGGGCGAGCGCATGGCATCTGCGGCCTGCCTGCGCCTGCCTCCGCCGCGGGGCGGGCACGAGCGGTGCCCTGGCCTTCCGAGCGCAGGTGGACGAGGTCCGCCGTTGGCCGGGCAACCCTCGCCGCCAGGCCGCCCAGCCGGGGAGACCAAAGACGTTTGGGCGCTGCTTCATGGGGGCGCGATGAATGGGGGGGTGAGGGCGAAGAAACGTGCACTTTCAGTGCCCGTTCTGGGCCCCAGAGGGCCCCTGCAGGGCCCCTTTCGGGGTACAAGAGGTGCACCTCCCTCCACCCCCCGCACGATCGCTCCCCATTGCGCAACGCCCGAAGCCACCAGTAATTACCGCTACTCACAGAGCCTCTCCCCTGGTGCGCTCGGCCCTGGACTTCGAGGGGGATGTGGCCGTGGTGACGAAGACTCTCCTGGACGAGCGGCGGTATCGGCATCTTTTTAGACAGCAGAAAATCCACCCTGATAAGAAGCACCCCGACAAGCGAAGCCGTCTAGCCAGCGCACCCGAGGAATGAATCGAACAGGACGGGGCTGTCTCGTGAACGCCCCGGGCCGCTGAGTAAACGCCCATTATCGGGGTCGGGGTGGCGCTGTCTCCTTCGGAACCTGGAACCTGGTGTCGTGAATAGTCGTCGACTGCCGCCCTCCCCCAGGGCCTCCTCCCTTGACTCTGCCTCCTCTGGCCAGTGGCGATGTCGCCGGCTACGCGGCCTGCCCTTCTCATCCTTGCGAGCACAGCCGGAGCGTCGGTAGGGCTGGTCCCCTCCGCAGCGCCGCGCGCTATACAGTCGGGGCGTTGACCTAAGGAACCCTAAACAAGGAACGAGGCCCCTATTTCCATAAGTTAAACTTTCATTTCGTATCGAAAACCTAAGGAATACCTAAGGCAAACTGCGAAACGATTAAGGAACACGGAGCCCCTCCCCAATGAAAAGGGTTCCTTCTTCAGCGCCCCGACTGTAGGCCTCGCCGTCGGCAGGGGCAGCCCGGCCGAAGCACTGACAGGCGCAGCCGAGACGCGGGCTGCGGCAGACGGTTCGGCGGCAAGCGAGGGGGTGAAGCGACAAGCTACACGCTGGGTGCGCTCGCGTCACATCTGACGTCCTACCCCTCCCTCCCGTCCCTTACAATATAATATATCTCCTATCTATTCGCGCAATCGGACGTCGAGCAAAGCAGTGATCGTGAGAGGGTGCACGATACATCGTAGAGCACGGCATGGCATGGCGTAGAAGAGCACGGCAGAGCGCAGAATGAAGGGGCGGGCCTTCTCAGAAGGCTCGGAAGCCCCCTTGCCTTCGGGAGCTTTTCCTGAGTCTTCCCCCGAAGACGCAGAAGACTTCTCGGGGGCCTCTGAGGAGCCCCGCCGCCTTTTGAGAAGGCCTCTTCCTTCTCACTTCCCCCCCTCGCTCGCCGCCGAACGGTTGTTTCGCCGCACAGTTTTCCGTGCGCACAGCACTGTCCACGCGACGTTTCTTCAAAGCGTGAGCAGGTAAACACAGAAATGCATGAGCATGATCTCTCTGAGGTCCGCGCGGATTTCTTGGATCGGCGCTGGGCCCACCTGGCGGCGCATCCGGCGTCGCCCCTGGCGCGCTCGGCAAGGGGGTCCAACGCCGATCCAAGAAACCCGCGCGAAGCTCTGAAAGTTTATGTTTATGTTTTTGTTGGTTCCTCGAGTATGGGCCAATCTGCTCCCTGACCCACTGAGGTAGGGCACTATCGCACATCGCTGCGGGTCCGAAAGGTGCCACCTCCAATCTCGCAGCTCCACACAACAAACACTGTTTGGTGTTCTGCCGTGCTCGCTCCATCAATCGCTTCATTTCGAACAGTCCCCTCGATGGCACTAACAGCGGCATCAATGCCGCTGTCCCTCCCCACGTCGTACCGCGAGTCTCCGACGGCTTTGGGACTGAAGCCGCGAATGCGCTCGAGCAGGAAGCGCAGGGCAAGTCACCGAAATAGCGGGCCTACAGCTAGGCGCCCCGACCTCGCTGTCTTTTCTGTGGGGGGCTGGGGGGCGAACGGCTGCTGCACAGAGGCGCGCTTGTCAAGATCTCGCTGCGCCCGGCCTCGTACCCCGCGGGGGAGAGCGGACGCCAACACTTCCACGGCCTCCGTCCGCTCTCGACACTTGCCAGGCGGCACTCGTCAGCCGTCCCGCCCAGGCGCAGCGCATGGTGCCACTAGAGGCATATCAGCCAGCGTTGACTCCAAATAGATAGGAGGACAGGAGGAGGACGAGAGGAGGATGGAAGGAGGATGACAGGCGTAGGCATAGGAGTTCGGGGGGAGGCATAGGCATAGGCATAGGCATAGGAGTTCGGGGGGAGGCATAGGCATAGGCATAGGCATAGGCATAGGCATAGGCACAGGAATTAGGCGAGGGGCATAGGAATCAGGAGGGGGGAACGGACCAATTAGTAGGGTTCGAATGAGAACTCCTACAGGGCAAGCCTCTTGGAGAACAACAAACACAAACATAGTTACCTTCTCTGAGGTCCGCGCGTGTTTGCTGGAGCGACGCTGGACCCTGACTACCTACCAGACCACCCCAACCCAACCCGAAGACCCGAATTTGACCCGAATTTCGGGTTGGGGGGGGGGTACGGGTTCCATGTTTTTTTTTCAATGTTCCCCGACCCCCCCCCCACTGGAAATCGAGAATAAATTTGGGCCTTCGGGTTGGGTTGGGGTGGTCTGGTGGGTGGTGAGGATCCCTCTTCCTGGCGCGCGGATCGTGCCGGGGTCGGCTCCGCACGGACCTCAGAGAGGATCTGCTCATGTTTGTTTGTCCCTCGAGCCACGGGTGCTCGCGACCGACTCCCCCTCCTCCAGCTCCTCCTCCTCCTCCTCCTCTCCCCTCCTCTCCTCCTCCCCCCTCCTCCTCCTCCCCCTCCTCCTCCTCCTCCTCCTCCTCCTCCTCCTCCTCCTCCTCCTCCTCCTCCTCCTCCTCCTCCTCCTCCTCCTCCTCCTCTCCATGAAACCACTCTCACCCGCCACGTCTGTGAAGGGCAGTGCGCGGACATCACCAGCAGCACGCACTTCTGATTAGGAGTGCCAACCAAGAGAGCGCGGAAGTCGTGAAGAAGCGAGTACGTAAAGAAACGCGTGCGTAGGGCCTGTGACGAGGGAACCTCCTGCTCCTCCAGCGCATTGTTTTCACGTTTCACAGACCTTGGTGGTTTCACCGTAGCGCCAGTGGGACAAATAAAAAAGAGTCCGACTTAGGCGCTGTAGCCGACAGATGGACGTAGGCGAACGCAGCGAGTGAGAAGAACGCAGTCAAAAACAACAATATGTGTTATCGGAGTGCCTTTGTAGTTAGTATGCTCAGCACAGTAAACCGTAGTGGGGCTTACAGACTATACTCGCATCACGAGCCTACATTGGCTTTGACGATGCCCTCCTGGGCTTACTGTACTCAGTACAGTAAGCCCGCTAGGGCATGAAGTGTGCGCTCACCTGGCCGAGAAGGGAGGCGACTATCCTCCTACGCCTCCTCCTCCTGCTCCTCCCGCCTCCCTCGTCCAAGTTCAGGTCGGGCATGTCCTCCTACAGGCGGATCTTGGGCGAACGCATAAAAATAGTCATCAACATCAGATACAGCCTTTGTGGGCCCCGGAAACGGCAGGGCCGTTTTTTCACCGTTTCCGAAAAAGTGTCCTTTGAAAATGGAAACGGCAAAAAAACGGCGACTGGAAACGGCAACAAAAACGGCTCCAAAATTGGAACCGGAGCCGGAAACGGTGAAAAGACGGCGACGGAACCGGTAAAACAACGGCGTCGGAATCGGCAAAGAAACGGCAAAACGGAACCGGTAAAAAACGGCCCTGCCGTTTCCAGGGCCCACTAAGGATACAGCAGAAAAATCGTCAAACGGATCGTTCCAAGGATATTTGTTATACTACTTTTGAGCAGTCCTCCTGTCGAGGGACAGGCCCGACTCCAGCCCAGGTCCTGGCACCAGCACAGGCCCGCCAGCGCGGTCGCTGCCCCGTGCCGCACCGCGGTGTCCGAGGACTGCAGCGCCGGCTCCACGTGCTCCGACAGGATGCCGAGCGCCCTCTCGGCCGCGACGTGCCTGGAGCACGCCGCGGCAAGAGCACTCGAGGAGGAGGAGGAGGAGGAGGAGGAGGAGGAGGAGGAGGAGGAGGGGGAGGAGGAGGAGGAGGAGGAGGAGGAGGAGGAGGAGGAGGAGGGGGAGTAGGAGGAGGGGGCGTAGGAGTGAGGAACCCAAAATAAGGAACGGGGCCCCTTTTTCCCATACGTTACACTCCGATTTCCCATGGGAAACCTCAGGAACACAGGAGGCAAACTGCAGAACGATCAAGGAACACCGAGCCCCTCCCCAACGAAAAGGGTTCCTTCTTCAACGCCCCGACTGCACTCGAGGAGGAGGAGGAGGCAGGAAACGTTCGAAGGTGGACCTCCCCTCCCAGCTGCCGTCAGAGCTTTGCTACAAGGGGTGCCAAACCAGGGGCAGTACAGAAAGGCACTGAAAGAACGTTTCTGCCAAGAAGGGCTGGGATTGCCTGTTTGGCGTCATGGGGTGAATCTACGGAACACGAGCCCCCCGCCGAACCAACGTGTTCGTGATTTCGACGCTCCAACAACTCCTCTCGGCTGTCTCTCTCTCTCTCTCTCTCTTTCTCTCCCTCTTTTGTTATTGTTGTTGTTGTTGTTGTTGTTGTTGTTGCTGTTGTTGTTGTTGTTGTTGTTGTTGTTGTTGTTGTTGTTTTGTTGTTGTTGTTGGTGGTGGTGGTGTTGTTGTTGTTGTTGTTGTTGTTGTTGTTCTCTCTCTCTCTCTTTCTGCATACACGTGTACGCATACACGGTTGTTCCTCCCTATTTCTATTTCCCTTCGTCTCGCGCTGATCATGTTGTTATTTCTCAGTATACGAATATGTTTATATACATGTCTACATATAAACCCAACATATACACATGCTTATGTACACATGTATTCATATGTATACGTATATGTATATATATACATGCATACATATCTATATATACATACATATATATGTATATATATATGTATATATATATATATATTCCTCTTCCTAGATTTTTGCAAACCCGGGCGTGGGGAAACCCGTCACCCCCCCCAAAAAAAAAACCGGACTCCCGGGATCTGGGGCTTTGGGACCAAGAAGGCCCCAAGAGGCACAAATCTTTGATTTTATGTGGGTTTTTGCTGAATTTAGGGGTTCTCCTCTTTTCGGCTTCCCGACGCTCCAAGACGGCGGTCTTCTGGGCGTCCGAAGCCGCCTGCGAGGCTCCAACATCGCCCCACAACCATCCGAAAGGGCTTCCAGGCAGTCCAAAAGAGCCCCAAAACGGCACAACACGGGTCCAAGATGGCCCTCAGAGAGCCCCTATGGCGGCCCAAGATGGCCCCAAGACAACCTCCGAAGCATTCCAAATCGTGACCCGGTCGTTTAGGGAGACCGCGGTTGGAGGCAGGGTGGTCCGAGGAAGTCCCCAGAGGCCCCCAGAATACGCCCAGGAGGCCTCCAGAAGGCCTTAAGAAAGCCTGAAACAATTTTTGTGAGGCCCCCAGAGGCTCTCCAAGGAGGAGCCTCCGCAAAAAAGAGCTGAGGAGGATGGGGAGAATTCGCAGGGTACGGGGAAATAAGGAAAAAGAAGCATGGAGGAAAGATAACGAATAACATTATTATAGCGGCGATGCCAGAAAAGGCAACAAGGAGTTATCTCTGAATTGTCGGCTTGACCTTCCTGCTATTCCGCCTGCGCACCAAACTTTAAGGACCAAGGTGCATGGCGCGAAGCGCCACTGCACTCTTGTATATATGTATGTATGTATGTATGTATGTATGTATGTATGTATGTATGTATGTATGTGTATGTATGTATGTATGTATGTATGTATGTATGTATGTATGTATGTATGCATGTATACATATATATGTATGTATGTATATATGTATGTATGTATGTATGTATGTATGTATGTATGTATGTATGTATGTATGTGTTTATGTATGTGTGTATGTATGTATGTATGTATGTATGTATGTATGCATGCATGCATGCATGTATGTATGTATGTATGTATGTATGTATGTATGGATGTATCTATTATGTGTATATATATATATCGGGGCATGCGCCTATCTATGTATATCTAATGATGTGTCAACACGTATATATGTATATGTCGGCGGCACCTGGTCTGGAGCGATCCCTCCAGGAATCGCTCATCCTCGGGATTTGGTGCTGGCGGAACTGCCAAGGCTGGTCGGTAGGAAACCCTGGAAATGCACGAACCCCGGTAAAACCCTGCAGCACCGCCGGTGCGGGCCGGTACAAAACCCCTGGGATTCTGGGAGCCCCTGTGAGTTCGGAACCTCCGAGATGCTTGGGAACTCCGGGAGTGTGGGAGCGCTGGGGGGCGCTTGCAAGCGCTCAAAAATCAGAAGGAGCCCTCTGAATCCCATCTGGGATCCTCAGGAATCCTTTACGATTGCTCAGGATCTCTGCAAAAATTCGGCAGGATCTGTTAAGAATCCTGCCTATCCTCAGGGCCCCGAGTGATTCCTTAGTGCGTGCTCAGGGATCTTCAGGAAACTTTAGTGACCCCCCGAGAATGATCAGGTAATCCTGAGGAATCTCAGAGGATCTCTGAGGATCCCTGAAGAATCCTCAGGAAACCCTCAAGAATCCTGGAAATCCTTGAAGATTGTAAGGGGATCCATCAAACATCCCATAGGGATCCTCAACATTTCTCTGCCCACGAAAAGATCCCCCGAAGAGATCCCCAAAAAATCCACAGCAAGGCCCACCCCCTACTCCCACAGTGGTGCCAGGGGGGGGGGGACAGATTCGTCGGCGGCGGCACCTGGTGCGTCCGGTACGAAACCCCGGGAAAGGGGGAGGACGTCCGCTACGAAGGTACGACCCCTAAAAGGGGAGGCACGGGGGTTCGGGTTGTCGGTTGCACCTGATGCGACCGTGCCACCGCGCATCGCCGACACGCACACACACAACACACACAGAGACACATACACACTGATACACGCACACACACACACACACGCGCACACAACACAACACACACACAACACATAGCACATACCACACACACACCACACGCACAGCACACGTACATACACATACACGTATACATACACATACATCCACACGTACATACATACACATACACACATAGACATGTACATACACATACACATGCGCATGCGCATGCGCATACACATACACAAACAAACATATACATGCATATACATATATATATATATATATATATTCACATAAACGTGTAAAAATACAAGGGCTAGGAACTATAACGCATCAGTTCGACGGTATGACCCAGCATGATAATATACCCCCCACGTCCTCAAAAGGGTTTCCTGTTTTCTCCGAACACCCCGCGCAATCTCCCTCCTCCGCACCCCCTCTCCTCATCACACACTCACACGCCATCATCATCGCCATCATCATCATCATCGCCATCATCCTCATCACAATCACCACGGCCATCACAATCACATCAGGGGGGGGGAAGAGAGGGAAGAGGAGAGGGACGAAAAACAGGGGGGAGAAGGAGGGGGAGGATGAGGATACGATGAGATAAGATAAGACCGATCGCGAAGCGAGTTCAATAAATTAGGAGGATCTGGCCGCCTTGTCAGCTCTGCTGAGAATCTTGGGCATGAGACCTCGTGAACGACGGTCGAGATATTCTCGCCGTGCTTTGGTAAGTGGGGCTCTTGGGGGTGCCTTCCACTCATCAGCCAAACCTCGGAGCTGCTGCTGATGGTAGCACCCACAAGCCGCACAATACCATATGGACAGGGATTCATGATAAAGCATTTGGTGAGAGCTGTGGACCCACCCCCCAGCGAGATGCAGACGCTGCCCCCGAGGAACCTTCAGAATCCCCGTTGACTGAAGCTCAGGCTGGAAACATGCTGAACCAAGAAACTCCTTCTTCCCAGCCACAGTCGTGGATCCCCTACAGACAAAACACCTTTTTTTCAACACTCCGACATCCTATGTGCCGTGCAAAAAAAAGGCCACCGTAGCTGGGGCAGGAGGTGAGATCCTGGGGGGCTTACGGGGCCTTCGGGGAGCCTTCTTTTCCTTCACAAGGGCGATGGTTTCGAGCGTAGCTCTGAGCAGCCGCTGACGGATGAGGGCAACTTCATTCTCTGTCTGCAACACTCGAGCACGCTGATCCTGCGGGACCCTCGCACGTAGTGCCGCCTCTCCTGCCAGGTGGTCAACGAAGACATTGCCAGCGATGAGAGGCTCCGACAACTGCCGAGAAATGACCTCCTCACCCGAGACATGAGACGGGACTTTGATGACAGCGATGTGATAAGGCTCCCGTCTTTGCTGTTTGAGGGTCTGCCCAACTTCACGCCCCAGATCTGAGTTCGCGCCTTGTGGTGAGATGTACAGTCGCTCCCACCATCCTCGGCACACCTCTTCATTGTCCGTGACAAATGTCATAAATCCTGCCGACCACCGAGCGCCCAGGAGGAATGCCAGCAATTCTCCACGAGGGACGGTTTGCCGCACTCCTGGCAGTGGTCCAAAAACGAAACGAGAATCTGGTCCAGGGAGCTCGCCGACTGCTGATACTGCTAACCCTACCCGACGAAGTCGAAGATCATGTGTATCGCTGCCGCCCGAAGCGTCACCGTGAATCACAATGGGTGTGGACTCGTCGCCCTCGCCGAAAAAGCTCTGATCCAAATCGTCGTTGTGACTGACTGTCCAGATCTCCTCTTGCGTGGGCGGGTCCACAGCCGTAAGATGAGAGGGTATGAGCCCTCGATACCAATAACACTCCATGCTGTCACCTTGAGTCAGCGCTTTGTGGCATAACTCCTGGGGCAGGTCAAAGGCTGCCGACCCTTGGTTGCATCGGCAAGTCCAGAAACGATGCTTGGGTGTCTCTGGACCCTCCTCGCAGCGTGCACACTGCGACGGAATATCATATCCTGCTTCGGCCTTGCGAGACGCCGTCCATGCCCCGCCGACCGTGATCGTAAGTAAAAGATGTGCCAACCTGCGCCCGATCTTGGGGATCTGCTCAAGCTGGAACAACTGCTTCCTGAGGCTGAAGTTGTCGACTCCTGCCTCCATGCCGCCTCCACAGAATGTTGAAACCGCCGCCTCAGCTTCTGTTGAATAGACCTGGTGAATGCATCGAGGAGTTCGACGGCCTGATCATGAGCCTGGAAATCGGAGCCTGCGAAGTTCCACCCGTCCTGGTGGCCCTCTGCATCAGCGGCCTGGTACCACAGCGACGGCTCTGGGATGTCCCAGCCTGCGTCGAGGAGGTAGTGGATCACCGCCGTGAGCGGACCACGAATATGCCTCGCACGATGGCGAGGTTCACACTGCTGGAAGAAAGAGACTGTGGCACCCCAGACCTTCGAGATCGGAGACCGAACCCGCGGAACTTCCAACCATACTCGCAGCCATTCGGCCAAGCATTGGCTGGGCAAGGCATACCCAGGATCGGCTCCTGGGGCTCGAATGTCTAGCAAGGTGGTAAGGCACCGACCTCGCCTATGCCCTCCTGTGACGGCGCCTGACGTAGGTGGGTCAGCGACGTCGCAAGGGAGGGGGATTAGGAGGAAAGCGACAAGGAGCAGGGGGGAAGGAGGAGGAGGGAGGAGGAGGAGGAGGAGGAGGAGGCGGAGGAGGAGGAGGAGGAGGCGGAGGCGGAGGAGGAGCCGGAGGAGGAGGGAGGAGGAGGAGGAGGAGGAGGAGGAGGAGGAGGAGGAGGAGGGGAGGAGGAGGGGGAGGAGCACACGTGCCTGCGCATGAGCATCGCGAGGGCGAAGGCGGCCGCCTCGCGCTCGTGCTGGCCCTCGTCGCCCCCCAGGGCCTGCCGCGAGGCCAGCGGCGGCGGCCGACCCTCCTCGCTCCCCGAGCCCCGATCCTCGCTCCTCCTCGGTCCCCGATCCTCCACCCTTCCTCGCTCCTCCTCGGTCCCCGATCCTCGCTCCTCCTCGGTCCTCGCTCCTCGGTCCCCCCTTCCTCGCTCCTCCTCGGTCCTCGCGCCCTTTCGGCCCCAGGCTCTCGGTCCTCCTCCGCGCCTCGGCCCCCTCCCGGCCCCGCTCCGCTGGAGAATGCCTCTCGCTCCGATCGAGAGGGCGCTCCGCTTCCTCCTCCTCCTCCTCCTCCTCCTCCTCCTCGCCCTCCTCCTCCCTCCTCCTCTCCTCCTCCTTCTCCTCCTCCTCCTCCCCCTCCTCCTCCTCCTCCTCCTCCTCCTCCTCCTCCTCCTCCTCCTCCTCCAGTCTCAAGCCGCCCGGGCCGACCAGGAGGGCGCTCGATCATTCGGGCCCCCTGCCCGAGGACGGCTCCGCCCGTGGCGCCCCGCGCGGCGAGACGCGGGGCCGCAGCAGCTCCTGCGCACGGGGGCGCCTGCGGCCTCTGCGCCACCGCCGTGGCCGACCGGGGCCGTCCTGGGCAGTAGTGCACCGTACCCTTGAGTCGGGCCTGTCCCTCTACAGGGGGAAAGCTCAAGGGTAGTCAAGAAATAGTCTGGGGACCATGTTTGTTGACTACTTGTGGGTAGCTTTTGAATATTGTTTGAGTATGTCTTATTTTTCGTCTAGAACCCCCCTGTAGGGGGACAGGCCCGACATAACCGTACCGGCCAGGGACACGAAGGTGTCTTGGCCATCCTACTTGCCATCGCTCGAGCGTCCATTCCGGGTGCACGGGTCGGTTTCGTGCAACTGTTGCTGGTCCTGTTGCTGTTTTTTTGTGCTTTGTGCGCATGCATCTGCAAGGTCGTGCAGATGTTCTGGCGCTGGCCTCGCCGAGAAACGTGCACATCCCCGAGCGACGCCACAGGACCCCGGGTGGCCCGGCCAGGCACGGTGGTGGCCAGATGCCCTTTGCGGATCTCCAGCCGCCCGGTGGCAACTTCCCCAGCAACGGAGCAATCCATCTGACCCGTTCTCTCGTCCGCGCGGGCCTTGGGCAGCAGCGCGTCGAGGATCTTCTCCTGGACCGCCTCGCTGCAGGGGGTGGGCATGTTCAGGAGCACCTCGCCCAGTGGTCTCGCTCCTCCTCCTCCTCCTCCTCCTCCTCCTCCTCATCCTCCTCCTCCTCCAACTTCGCATTGATCCGACTCGCTACACGTCGTCCCTCGAGGATCGAGGTGGTGGGTTCTCGGACGTATATGGTATTCACTTTTTGTTCGGGCCTCTGGAGGCCGCCAGGGGCATCTGGGGACATCAGGGGTCAGGATCCTCCTCCTCCTCCTCTTCCAAATCTTCGTCTCTTCCCCCTCATGTATCGCGCGCGCGCGGCTGAAGGCCCGCGAACCTCGCCCAACGCGCGGCAGTTCGCGAGCCTGACCATCGGGTCCGCGTGGGTCCCCCCGGTGGTGTTGAGGTCGTTGATCAGCGGTTCCGTGCGAGGCGCCAGCCGGACCTGGAGGGGCACCCCGTACTTGTGGGTAAGAGCGACGGGTGGCGGCGGGTGTGCCATCACCACATCGTGCCCTCAAATATTACCCCTACATATTCATCCCCAAGCGTTGAAGCATGTATTGCCCCCAAGACTGTCCCCATGTAACTATTGTCCCCCAGCATTGCCCCCATGCTGCTCCCAAGAACCGCCCCCACGGATTGCCCCCACGTGTCGCCCTCAGAGGCCGAGTCCTCCATCCGGCCACGCGCGCGCAGGGGAGAAGCAAGACCGTTCGGGCCCCCTCACTCCGACGAAATGCTCCAGGCCTCCTCGTACTTGTCGGCGAACGCACCGAGGCGGTGGCTGGGCGACCGCAGGCATCCACAGGGCAAACGTGCTGCCAACGACAGGCAGCTGTGATGTTGCAATTTTGTATCTGTGAGGCAGCGCAGGTGCCGGGGCATGTGCGAAAGGGTAGTTGTGACTCCATCGGGTGTCCGCGGTGCAACTGGCGTGAAGGCGGTCGAGATCAGCCGCGAGGTGGCCGTAGCGTCCTGATACGAGGCGCGAGGGAGCCGGTGGGCAGCCTAGGGCACCTGCGAGGTACACGGCCCACATCTCCGCCTCCTCCTCCTCGTCCTCACCGTCCTCGTTCTGATCCTCTTGCTCCCCATCGAGTTCCTGTTCCTGCTGCTTCTCCTAATTTCTCGGGCATGGACACAGGTAGGGGTAGTGGTTGGCAAGACCTGGTTTGGTGATATGTGCCTGGGGACGCCTCCGCGTCCCACCCTGAGAAGATCGCTAGACCGACTGCTGGCCAGCTTCGCACACCCCCTGCCCCAATCCAAGACAACACGAAAGACGGACGAACTTTTCTCCAATCAGTGCTTGCACTGAAGGGGTCCTTCGCGGACAGTGGAGTATTTGGAGCCATTGCGCTGCTGACTTCTGTTGGCGGTCGGGTTCTCGGGTTTCCGAAATCGCAAGGATTTGAGGGTGCTTGCAACCGATTGCGGCGGGCGGCCAGGTTCCCGAGTTTTTGCATGTTCCTGCGAGAATGTGGTCGAGACTCCCGCGAAGCCTCGAGGATGTCCCGAGAAGGCTCCAGCACGCCCCCCCCGAGGGCTCCAAGATGGCTCTACGCGCGGGCGCGCAAACATGGATTAGCGATCCAGGGATTTGGCGCGCGGTCGCGCGGTCGCCAAATCCATGGATCGGGGGAGGTGCCTTCCCCAAAATGCGGCCGGTGCCGCCTCGTTCGGCCCTCGATCCATGTTTGCGATCGCCTGATCTACGTGGATCCCCAGGGGGGCCCACAGCCAAAACGAGCGCGCATCCTGCCTCTGGGCCGTGCCCGCCCGGCGGAAATCTGCGATTTCCCGTGGAATCAAAACCCGTCGCTCATCCACGCCCCCCTCATCCAGGTCTGCGATCGCCTGGTCTACGCAGATCCCCGGGGGGCCCACAGCCAAAACGTGCGCGCAGGGGGCCCGCAGCCAAAACGTGCCTGCAGGAAGAGGAGGAAGAGGAGGAGGAGGAGGAGGAGGAGGAGGAGGAGGAGAAGGAGGGGGAGGAGGAGGAGGATGAGGAGGAGGAAGGACGTGCGCGCAGCCTGCCTCTGGGCCGTGCCCGCCCGGATCCTCTCGAAGGCCCCTGCAGGCGGCGCCGCCCTCGCGTCGCCGCTCCCGCGGCCCCTCCGACCGAGGGAGGGCCCCCCTCCTCCTCCTCCTCCTCCTCCTCCTCCTCCTCCTCCTCCCCTCCTCCTCCTCCTCCTCCTCCTCCTCCTCCTCCTCTCTCCTCCTCCTCCTCCTGTTCCTCCTTCCTGCGTCGGCGCGGTGCAGTTTTGCGTCGGCGGCGAGGCAAAGGGGGAAGTCTGCGCTGGCGGAACGGCCTGCATGGGAATGCCGTTTGGGGCAAATTTAGGGGAAACAAAAAGTGACATAAACATAAAAACTCAGAGGTCCGCGCGGATTTCTCGGATCGGCGCTGGGGCCCCTCGGCGGCGCCTCCGGCGCCGCCCCTGGCGCGCTCCGCGCGCCAGGGAGGGGGGTCCAGCGCCGATCCGAGAAATCCGCGCGGACCTCCGAATTTTATGTTTATGTCACTTTTTGTTCCCCTAAAATTGTGCCACCATGCCAGAGGGGGAGCAGGAGCTCAGGAGGAGAACGCGGCCGAAGGACGGGGCGGATGAAGCGAGCCGCTCCGGGGGCGTCGGCGCGATACAATCGAAGGACCCCGCTCCCCCACCGCACTCTCACTGAGCAGAACTGCCGCCACCTGGCAAATACCGAGCACCCTCGGGTACCGTGTGCCGGCGCCTACGCCAGCCCAGCGCATGGTCACCAGCTGGAGCTGCCGTCGCCGAGCGCTCTGAGGCGCCTTCGGGAGCGCCTACATCCTGGGCGCTTTTGGGGGGGGGCTGCCAAAATCACGCCCGCGCCGACCCCCTGCCCCAAGCGCCGCCTCTCACTTACCCGTGCAACCTGGGGCGCGTGCGAACCTGGCTGTTCTCCGCACTCGGAAACTGCTTTCTTCTACCAGCTCCCCCTTTGTCCACGCCCTCGCATGTGATGTTTCAAACGCTTCCAAAAAAACAGACACTCTGTTGCCGAGGGGGCGTGGTTTCCAAAGCACAAGAAGACGAGGAAGAGGCACAGAAAGCCGGCAAAGACGAGAGGAAGGGATGAGGAGGCGCTCACACTTGTCTGGAAGACGACCGCGAATGATTGAACCGATCGTGCACGCCCACGCGCGAGTGCGCGCCATCGTTATATATCTGATCTTAAATGTCCAGTCCCTTTAACCGGCTTTCTCGAACCAGTCCGGGCTATGCCCGAATCTCCCTTCCTGGCGACAGAGTAAGAGAGATGGCAACGAAACCTGGGCTCAGCTCAGTCACGATTCAGAGCCTGAACACGGATCAGGGCCCTGAGCCGCCACCAACGAGAATTGAGGCTGCAGATGGGGCCCACCGCGGGTGCTTTCATCAAGCTGTCCTGCCCTGCAAGCGAACCTGGGCGCGCAAAACATGCTGCCTTGTAGGGAACCTCTTCTCGCCCCTCGGGAAAATAACATAACACGTATGCCCATGCGAAGAGAAGCGGTTAACTCCAGGAATACATACCGAAGATATCGCCAGGATCGCGCATGCTTATTCTCCGAGGACCAAGATCCCAAGAGACTCCGCAGCCTTCCTCTTGACCTCGTCCGACGGGTCGGTGAGGCACCTCAGGTAGGTGGTCTGCAGCTGCGGCAAGAACGGTTTCAGGTTCGCACCGCCGCGCGTGAGCAGCGCCTTCAGCGTGTCCACGATGGCCCTCTTGACGGTGCCGGGGAACCGGTCCCCGACGATGCGGATCAGAGGTCCGGTAATTTTGACAACGTACGGCTTGAGCGCCTGCGACATCCCCAAACGCCACCAGTGATCAAAACCTGCTCAACCTCGGTCCTCTTGACCATCTCCAAGGGCCCATCCCGACCGCTTTTGCCATCATGGATCAATTTGTTGACGGCCAAAGGGGCCCACGACGGGCCGAAGCTTGTAAAAAACTGCATCCCGTGGTGAGACTCGGGTGGCGTGCTTTTTTGGGGACGGGGCTAAAAGGAGGAGGAGGAGAAGGAGGAGGAGGAGGAACACTGGGGGACAAAAGGCGGACGGAACAAATCGCAATCCCTGGAAGTGGGTATCTGGGCAACTCCGCGGAAACACAACCAACAACACCAAATGGACGTGCGACTTTTGACGGCCTCGGGGCCCGCAAAACGGGCCTTCAGAGGCCAGAACTTGCAAACAAATTCCCCCCGTGGCGAGATTATGGGACCAATGCTTTGTTTTAGCATTGAAGGGAGGAAGGCTGCGGGGACGACATGTGGACAGAACACATCGCAGGCCCTCGAAGTGGGCATCTGGGCAACTCCACGAAAACATCACCAAGACAATCAGGCTAATGTAATCGGCATAATCATAAGATTCGCGAGGTCCCCCCAGATCTCTTGGATCGGCGCTGGACCCCTCTCCTTGCTTGGCGCGCTCGCTGAGCGCACCAGGGGCGGTGCTGGAGGCGCCGCCAGGGGGACCAGCGCCGATCCAAGTCATCCGCGCGGAGCTCTGACAGGCTATGCTTTTTGCTGCCAATCTCGAACAATCGAATGGACACGCAACTTGGCCCCGAGGCCGAAGGATCGTGCAGCACCGCGCTCTCCCGTCATCGTCGTCGTCGTCGTCGTCGTCGTCGTCGTCGTCGTCGTCGTCGCCATCGTCGTCGTCGTCGTCGTCGTCGTCGCCGTCGTCAAGCGAAATCGCAGGGCGTTTCCGCGGCCGCGCCGCCCGGCAGAGGTCCCGAGCCAGCCCTGCCCTGCCAGGCATCCTCCTCCTCCTCCTCCTCCTCCCCTCCTCCCTCCTCCCTCCCTCCTCCTCTCCTCCCTCCTCCTCCTCCTCCTCCTCCTCCTCCTCCCCTCCTCCTCCTCCTCCTCCTCCTCCTCCTCCTCCTCCTCCTCCTCCTCCTCCTCCTCCTCCTCCTCCTCCTCCTCCTCCTCCTACATTTCTACATTTCTCGCTATGCAGCGTCTTGTCGCGCGCCCCGCGGGCGCGGAGCGCGCCGCAGCGGCCCTCCAGGGCCGTGCGGGCACTCGGACAGCGGCCCCGGGAACCCGACCCCGAGGAAAGCAGAGGGAACCAGGGACCAAGTTAAACCTCAGCGGAGGGAGAAGGGGGGCCGGGTTTCAGCAAAAAGAAAAAGGGGGCCCGTCAGGGCCCACGGGCGGGCGCCGCGCGCGCCCGCGCCCGCGGGCGTCAGGCAGCGCGGCGCACGGCCAGGCCGTCGGCCTCTTTGTGGGCTGGCGGCCGCGTGGTGGCGGCTGGGCTCCCTTCGGCGCCTCGCGCTGAGCCCAGCCGCCGTGGGGTCTTCGGGTGGCTGGCTGCCCCCAGCTGCGGCGGCCTCCACCCTTCGGCGCAGCGCGCTGTGGAGGCTCGCCGAGCCGCTCGTGGGCTCCAGCAAGTCTGCAGCGGCTGCTCTCGTCATCATGCCGATCAGGCCGGCTGGCCTCGGCCCCTCGCATGCCACGCGAGGGCGACGGGGATACACCCTTCGGCGCCTGGCGCTGTGTATCCCTCGCCGAGGGGCACGCCGCCCCTTCTCGTCGAGTACTCCATGTTGTGAACCTGCAGTGCTGCCTGACACTGTGGTGCTCGAACTTGTATCCCTCGTCCTAGCCGTGCTGGACGGGTTGGTACTCCTGCTTAATCCTGTCCAATCGTGCTGGTCGTACTGGTACTCACTAGCCGTAGTATCCGATCTCGTCGGTCATGCCGCCCCCTCCTCTGTAGTACAGGAGGGTGCTGATCTCGGGCCTTGTAGATGGCGGTCGTTTATAGGGCTGAGTGCAGGGTGTGGAGCGTGCTGGTCAGGTCGTTGGGGGTCGGATCGTTGCTGGTGTTGCGTTGGTTGTGGGCTTCCAAGGCCTCCATGCACCGACTTCAAGTGGGGGTCTTGGCTGTCCCACCTCGTCCCGCTATGGCTAGGGGTCACAGTGCCCTCGGTGGGGGCGAACCCCAGGCCTGGTACTTAATATCGTCGGAGTGGGATGTCTCGGCTGTCCTGTGCTTCGCCCTCGGGCGCTCGGGTAGCTCCTCCTTCTCCATGGGAATGGTGGGGGTGGCGAGCTAGGGCGGACCGCGGGGGCGCAGGTAGTGGCCGTCCTACCCCCCCCTGCCCCTCACCATCCCCGCTGGTGGGCGCGGGAAGTACTCGTCCTTCCCCCCCGCCCTTCGAGCCCGTCTCGAAGTTTGATCCTCACCAGGACAGCGTTGACTTGACAGGAGGTGTGCGGGGTCGTGCTGGGTATGCTGTCGATGTCGGTCAGTAGTACGCCGGCGGCGTATGGACCGCCCGCTGCCAGCCAGCTGGCGCCCTCCAAGTTGTAGGTAGCCAGTCGCCGCCAGGGTACTCACAACAAAACGTGGCGACTTGTGCCTGGGGTGTTCCCTCGCATTCGGGGCTTCCCCAGGACTTGCGTTCTAACCAGGGCAAAACTTGGCGACGCTGCCTGAGGTCTTCCCTCGCATTCGGGGCTTCCTCAGGACTTAAACCATGGCACCGTAGTGCCTTGTCCAGGGCGCTGGATAATCATAGAAGTAAATGCCAGTGTTGAAAGAAAGCCAATAAATCCAGAAAGTGCTCGAGGGGGGGGCACGCTCCGTCGCCATTGAGGGATCGTGCCCACCCGTATGGGCGCTACGGGTCCCCCCCCCCTCGAGTATGGCACGCAATCGCTGTCCAAGACGCAGCCGTGCCAATAACCCAGTAGCAATGCGGGTCTTGAATACATACAGTAGGTGCGCTGATGCTGACGCGCCTGCTGCCACTCTGAAATATTACCCGACTGTACACCATTCTGTAATGCCAACTGCCCTCCAATCTGTAAGATGCCAATAGTCTGCGCCAAACTGCAATCTGATGGTCCCTTCCAGGGACTGGCAAGTATGGATAATCCTGAAACAATTAAACTCGAATATCTGTGCAGGCAAACGTAGTGCCGCTGCAGTGTCAGCTGCTAGCGCCGTTGGTTACCCCATGCCCTGTGACAGTCGTGGCCCAGCTGCTCTGGCTCGATGTAGTAATCCAGGGGGGCGTAGAACCTGTGATAGCATTCATCCGTTTCGGCCCACATTGCCTCTTCGTCAGCAAGCTGTCCCCAGTGTGCTGCGAATGCAGTAGCCATTGCCTTGCACAGCATTGAAGGATATTCTTTGAGGGGGGCGGTCCTCCAGCCGCCTTGGCCGTCTCGTCCGTAAGCTCTGTCATGTCCGTTATGTCGGCATAGCTGTCCCCCAGGTACCGCCCCCAGCTCCTGTGTAAGTTCGCTGAGGTGTACCGCCATCAGGCATGTTGGCTTTCGCGCGGCCTGCCCAAACTGGCACTGGTCTATGTAGTGCAGTTCGACGCTCGTCTGCTCCAAAAGCCAGAGCGTCTCTGCTCGCTGCCAGCTGCTAGGCGCTTGAGGGCACCAGGTGGCTGGAGCGGGATGCTCGAGTACGGCAGATACGTTGTGCTGCAAGCCAGTGGTGATGAGTAGTAGAGCTGTCCTGTATAGCTCGTTGGCTAGTGGTATCTGTTGACGCTCCGCTTGATTGGCTGCTTGTACGCCCCAGGGGAAGTCGCGTGTACGCAGTGGCCGTGGAGCTTTCCCCTCGGCGGCATGCCAGCGCGATGAGCACCACGTCTCGCAGGGGGGGCCCGCAACAATGCCAAATAGTTTGCCCTGTCGTATCGCCGCGCAACAAAACTCGACGACGTCTGGCTTCGTCAGATCTCCTTTGTCGGGGTCTATCTGCACGTCGATCGATAATACTACCAAATTGCATTCCCGAGTGTTCATCTCGAAGTGGTGCTGGAAATCCTCGGTTCGGCGTCTGCCTGAGAAAAGGTGCAGCATGAACATAGCCTTAGTAACCATGGGCCTGCACGGTGCGAATGCGCTTGCAGGTGGCGTCGCTGGTTGAGGGTCCGCTGCTGCAGGCGGCGCCGGCGAGAGCTGGAGCTGATGCTGCTCGATGTAGTCGGCAAGCTTGATGTGTATGACCTGTTGGGCGGGCACCAGCGCCTTTGTAGCTCCATGCCCCATTGCCTTCCTCGTCGCCACAGCCTCTCGTTCCTCTTCTCGGCGTTCGGCTGCCTCCTGCAAATCCATTGGCACTTCAATTGCTTGGAGTACAGCCAGGCGCCTGGGGCACCTTCTCAGGTGCTTGAGTATGCGCGATCGCGTTATGAAGTTCTTCCCACACCCAGGGCAGGTTGTCGAACGGGCAAGCAATTCGGGGAGGTCGTAGCCGATGTGCTCCATGGTGCGATGGCGCTTCCATGCTCCCCGAGTTTTTAGGATCTTGCCACACTCATAGCATATGTAGCCACTGTGTTGTGCAGGCGGCAGTCCATCGAAGTTGGGCGTGGTCAGTCCAAACTCTTGCGCTAGACGGTGTAACTGCCTTTGCCATATTCGATGTCGGTATAAGTCGTGCTGCCATGCCTTGTACCTGAGCCACGCACGCGTGATCATGGCTTGTGCGGCTTGCACTTGCTGTGTTCGTAACCATCGTACCAAGCCCCTGATGTCGCAGCCAATGTCCTCGTCGTCTAGTAGGAATCTTCTTATCCAGTCCAGATCCTCGACGATAAGGGCATTCCAGGCTTCATCATCCCCCCAAAGCTCGTCGATGAGGCGGTGGAGGAAGGGCGTGTCTGCATGCGCCATTCTGGCCAAGTACGTCAGGCGCCGTCGGCGCAGGTACATGTGGATCGGTACTTCATCACATATCAAGTATATTTCGTCGTCCAAAGTATGTACGTGCCCCGCACCATGTCGCTGTTGCCGTGCGGCGGCCCGTAGGCTCGCCATGTG